GGCAGCAGTTACATAGGACTCTAACCCTTGTAATACAATGACTCAACAGCCCTTACTATCATCTTAAATTATCAAGTGCAAATGTGAAGGAGTACGATATATTATTTTTTAATCCTGCCCATTGTCCAGAACAGATATGAAGAACTAAAACTACAGTGGATCAATTTATAACAAATGCATAATATTTGCTTGACATTATTTCTTTCAAGGTTTTTCATGGCTTAATATTGTTAAAGATGATTCCTTTCTTTTAGAAATGTGTGTTTTGTGTGAATGAGAAACATATTTTTAAAAACACCACCTCCAATTTCTTTTCAAGTGACACAATCTAGCTGAAAAACACTAAAAATAAATACTTAGATCTGCCAGTGATCCTGATAAAATATTATATCCCATGAAACTGTCCAAGAAGCACTGGAAATAAAATCGACTGTCACACAAATATTGTTCTGTGCATCCAAATGCTGTATATGGGTGTAAGCGTGTTTGAAAGAGAGAGAGAGAGAGACTTTGTTCCCCCACCAATAATGCAGCCCAACCCAAAATTCTTAGTTTCTTGGTTTTTAGACTTGTTCCTGGAGTTGTTAGGGGTGCTGATTAAGAAAATTGTTCTGGATAGACTGTAGCAGCTCTCATTTATTAGAAATTGTTATCATGATTTTCTATGGGCGAGCAGATGAACACTGGTATATGCCTTATGTTATATATCTCTAATCCTAGAGCTGATGGGGAAAACTCATGCCATTTTTGGAATCAGAAAGTCAAATATAGCCATAATCAGGTCTAACATTTGAGACATCGAAATGTGTGTTGATCAGTGTAATATAAGTTTTTTTCTGTTCAAGTGGGTAGAAAGGTTTGAATGCAGTAATATATTGTCTGGTTTTTATCATTAAGCATTTTATCATTTAGCATTAAGATCACATAACAAATCTAACATTTATAGATTTATGAACTCATGCTCACAATTGTCTTCCTCAAGCAGGATTTAAACATTACACATATTCCCCTGTTGTAAGCCTTCATCTAACTTCCCTAAAATTAATTTAATTTTACTTTGGGTCTGGGGCAGGCAGCAATTCTGGCCTCAACGTTGTCAAGTCTATTAGACAGGAAAGGTTAGGTAATGGTTATCTTGTAAGCAACTACAGGAGCAATATGTAGCGGAGAAGTGTGAAGTACTTTTATGCCAAGTTGCTTTTAATCCCCTTTGGGAGATAAAGTGGGGTATAATCATCATCATCATCATCACCACCACTTGCCATGCTTGATAACTCTAAAAAAGTTACCATTCAACAATATTTAGACGACCACATATGCTCACACTGAAGTACAAAGGGTTGAATCTGTAACTCTCCAGATATTTTAGACTACAACTTACATCAATATGTGCTTGTGTGTGTCTTCAAGTCTTCTGTGTACTTATGAAAACTCCATAAATTTAATATGGTTTTCTTAGGCAAGGAATATTCAGAGGTTAATTTACCAGTTCTGAAATATAACCTACAACACATTCTTTGACAGTCTCCCATCCAAGTTTTAACCATGGCTGGCCCTGTTGCCTTTAGGGGATCTGGTGTCCTTAGGGTATTTAATATTGCCAATGTTGAAAAGACATCTTTAAAAACATCTGAAGGAATGAAGCAAAATTTGGGAGTATCCAGTGGGAACCATAGAAGAAGCAAAATCACAATACACTAAAAGAGTTGTTTATTAGGAGAAAATCATGTCACTCTTAAAAAAAATCAGTGTTTTTAGAGAGTCTTTGCCCCCAATTATATCCATCTACCTTTGATATCATCTGTATAGTTTTCGTCACCTTTCTCACAAAATATAAAAATAACCTTGCAGCTTTTGTTCACATGTTTTCAATTGTCCAATATATTCTTTTAGAGTTTTTGGTTCAGAAATGTATAAGCTTGATTCTAAGTAGGCTACAGAACTTTGGGTATCTATACATTCTGAGGAGTTAATTTTGCCATACAATGAGGTTTATACTACAGTGTGCTGATGGACATTAAAGGCATTTCTCAATTTGTTTTAAAGGCTCAAAAGCTTTCAGAGCATGCATAGATTTGCCATTGCATTTTGAAGACAAGTTGAAGCTGCTTTAAATGGTCAACGTAGATGAAGCCTGAGATTCACTTGGTGGTGCAGACTAAAGATAGAAACTTTAACAAACTCTCAGCATTCATGTATTTTCTCAGATATACATGTGCAAGTGGCTTGAAAAGTATACACATTTTATATACTGTATATGCTCATGCATAAGTCGCCTATGGGCTGAGAGAGTGCGGTATACAAGTAAAGTAAATAAATAAATAAATAAATAATAAGTCTAGAATTTTAGTCAAAAAGCAACCCAAAAATCAAAGGTCGACTTATCCATGGGTCAAAGTAGGTAGTGTAACTTAAATCTTATTTTAAAAGGAACCATCCCATTCTCTGAGTAGAGTGGTGAAAGATTAAAGCTTAGTCCATCCAAGAGAAATCTTTAAAAAGTAACAACGCTTTCTACTCTTTTGAGGAAAAGTGTCAAAGACCTATCAGCATCATTTTCCACCTTTCAAAGAGGATAGAAGTGGCACCACAACAGGGACAGTACAAGTGGGATGGACTGGGCTCTTGCTTTTTGCCACTATATCTTAATCCTTTTTAAAAGTGACAAAAAGCCAGGAGTAACTTCCTTCCCCTCACAAAATAAATAATTTTTCTCACATTCCCCATTTCACAGAACGACTCTTGACTTGTCCATGGTTCATATCAAAATCCATAGTTTAGTCCAAAACTGGCTTCACTATATAAATTAGGTCAACCTATACACATGCATAAATAGTGTATTTTGAATTCTGCCTTTCCCCTATGAAGTGCCTAAAAACTCTGAAGGCACCACATCTTTTCTTTGAGATTAATTAGAGTCAGGCTTGGTTAGCATTAGGATGAGAGCCTGTCAAGGAATCCCAGGTGTTGTTGGTAATATTGTAGAGAAAAGCAATTGTAAACTGGGGTAAGCATAAGAAAGCAGGTGGCTTAAAGACACATACAGAATTCACACATTATTTTTAGATCCAGTAAGTGGTGCCTTCACAGAATATTGGCTGTTGAAAATAAAAGTTCATTTCACCTAGTTGGTAGCGATTTACTGCTTCTATATTATTATTGTTGTATGTTGTTGTTGTATGTTGTTGTTGTTACTTCCAACTTCTTTTTCCCAGTTAAGGAATCAAAATAACTTACAATAGATTAAATTAGTTTAAAATTAAAACCAGTTAAAAACATAGACCATAAAAACACAACAGCATAACAAAACTACCAAATAGAAAATTCAGCACATTGTACATAGCTCATCCCCACTAAACAATCAGTTTTAAATTATAGTTGAAACAAAAATAGAGATGTTCAGAGCCTGGGATAATAACTGAGAAGCCCTCCTTAAATGCACCCACCAGATTTAGTTATGAAGTTGTTGGGATAGAAAGGAATTCCCCAGCCTAGAAGTAATCCATTTAAATATTTTCAGTACATTTTCACTAGACATCCATTATGGTTAAGTAAAGCCAATGTCAACCCAAGTTTCTTTATTAGATACTCAAATTACTCAAAATGTTGATCACAAAAAAAATCTGATGAACCAAAAATCTTCTCCATATATGCCCTCTCTGCATAGGCATCACAAAAGGGCTAACCTACTTCTCAGAATATTTTGGTTGAAATGTGTCTACACATACAGGCAGTTGGTGCCAGACTTAACCATATCTGGAAGAGACCCACTGAAGCCAACAGAAGTTAAGCTACAAATAGTCCACACTAACTGGATGTTGTCATTTTTATTTAGTACTTGAAAGTTAGAGTTCCCTATACAGAACTTTCAAAAGGAAAACCAAAAGAACATTTATCAAGGGAGGAAATAACGTATACGACAGCAAACATGCCAGTCAGCCAAATGGTTTTTCTGGTGCATTACCTGACACAAAAGCAGTTTCCACTTGGAAGCTAAACTGAGAATGACCTTGTGCTTTTAAAAAAGAAGGCAGGCAGCTGAGGTCACTGGAGTGAAGTGTGATAGACAGTGCTGTTCTGCCTATGGTTTCCAGGCATGCCTGGCAAAAAGACTACTACGGTAAAGTACCTGCTGTTGTTTCCTTTGAAAACATCATAAAATACAATCTAGCATTAGCACTATTGTTTTTCAGAAGGGATCAAGAACTCTGGAGAACTTTCTTTCACCCTCATGTTCTTCTCCCCAAGCTAATACACATTAAACAGTTTCTCTACAAGCCTTCTTCCATCCCCGTATGATTAATAACACTAGTCATATTTCCCAGCTATATAACAATAGTGAAAAAATATACAACTGGTATGTATTAACGTTGACTTAATTATTGAAGCTAGATGCAAAGACCATGGTTATATTATGTAGTGACAAACCATAATTCCTGACAACAAACAACATATGGATGCACACAAAGTTTATTCTGCTTTACTTCTCTCCATGTAACCAGAAATACTTAGGCCAGAAGGGATATCTGAACATGATCCCTTCCTTGTTCACTCATAAAGTACACCCAATTCAGTGTTTGAAGCCAGATCAATCCTGCTTAATTTGTCTATGTAGAAAATCCCCACATCCACCCCAGTCATTTAAAACAAGAGTTCTTGACATTTTTTTTCTTTTAATGGTCACTTTTACCTTCAAAGTCATTAGAGGTTATCCTGTAAACTGTCCTATACAGATTGCTTCATAAATATCCATTTCCCACTGAATTATTTAGACAGAGACAGAGTTTAACTTCTATCTGTTTCTAGTAAAGATTGATATTATGTTGAAAAGGTACATTTTGAGTGTCAAAGCAAGTAAAATAATTCTTTCTCTTTTTTAAGAGACAAAATTGCTTCTTATTCTGTACTTGAAAGTGTCCTATATAGCAATTGGGGGAGCCACGATGAGATATGTCATTTCAGGACTATATTTAGATAAGACAAAATTAGTGCAAACTTACCATTAAAGTTTACTGCTCTGATGTAAGTAAGAAGCTCTTTACCATCAACTGTAGCCATCCGGGGACACAGACCAATATATCCGGAACAAAGATCTTTATGCATGTTGTGCAGTGCATATGCCATGGAGTACACAGCATCAATGACAAACTGGACCTTTCCTTCTTGCTCATAAGAAGAATCCCTTGCAATTCTTTCCAAACCTGTGGGAAGAAGAATCAGCTGATTAATGGTTTCTTATAGGTTCAGCAAAATGTTCAGTGGAAAATTCTATCCTAAATCTAATTGTTGGACAATACTAGAACAGAAACATTAAATCAATGGAACACATATAGGAGTTGCTAACAGATCAGGCTTCAGTGGATTCATTGGGTCTACTCTAGTTGAGATTACAAATTAGGTCTCAGTAACAATTGGTCCACATCAATATATTGGAAACACACAATTTTACAAGAAGCTTCTACAGGCAAAATCAATTAGTACATTACTTTGTCCCATTGAATACGTTCACTTATTATTCATGGTGCATTTGAGTCACTACAGTGAGAATAGAGGTACAAGTTTTCTGATAGGCAGCAGCAGTGTGGTGATAGGAGAATAAAGAAACCTATTGAAACCATTGGTATGGATTGGTTATGAGTTCAATATCAACTAAAGTTGTTTAAAACATCTGTCAGCTAATTTGGATGCTCAAGAGATACAACTGAATGAAACTCAAGAGAGTTTATATTTCAACATGCTCTAGAACAGCATTTCTCAACCTGGGGGTTGGGACCCCTGAGGGTCATGAGGGGTGTCAGAGGGGTCACTAAAGATGATCAGAAAACACAGTATTTTCTGTTGGTCATGAGAGTTCTCTGTGGGAGGTTTGGCCCAATTCTATTGTTGGCGGAGTTCAGAATGCTCTTTAATTGTAGGTGAACTATAAATCCCAGCAACTACAACTCCCAAATGTCAAGGTATATTTTCCCCAAACTCCACCAGTGTTCACATTTGGACATATTGGGCATTTGTGCCAAGTTTGGTCCTTATCCATCATTGTTTGAATCCACAGTGCTCTCTGGATGTAGGTGAACTACAACTCCATAACACAAGGTCAATGCCCACCAAACCCTTCCAGTATTTTCTGGTGGTCGTGGGAGTTCTGTGTGCCAAGTTTGGTTTGATTCCATTGCTGGTGGAGTTCAGAATGCCCTTTGATTGTAGATTAACTATAAATCCCAGCAACTACAACTCCCAAATGACAAAATTAATCCCGCCCAACACCACCAGTATTCAAATTTGGGTGTTTCAGGTATTTGTATCAAATTTTGCCCATTGAATGTAAATACATCCTGCATATAATATTATGAAGTAACAGCAAAACTAATTTTATGGTTGGGGAGTCACCACAACATGAGGAACTGTATTAAGGGGTCGTGGCATTAGGAAGGATGAGAACCAGTGCTCTAGAATTTTGTCTCTAATAAATAAGAAGTCTTTTCCTAATAAAAAACAGTTTCTATCACAAAAGAAAAACATTATTGGTTAACCACAAATGCTAGAGTGAGAGATAGCTCTATGTCTATTGATGGCATCTAGAATGTGATGAACAAAGGGCAAGGTGGGCCATAGAAATTATAAAGTCAGCAGCATTCACAACTGAATGGAATGGGAAGTGTATATATGAGTTTAATTTTTAGTGCATTTATGGAACCCATTAGCATTCTGTGCATCTTTATACTTTTTTTCTGTTGACTAAATTGTGTTTAAGCATATTTTCAAATACATTTTTTCTTTGTGATAATTTGACAATAATATTTAATCACTTAGTGCTCATGGTTTCCACTTGATAACAGGTAACTGAAGGAGTCAGGTACAGTTTAATTAAAAGTCTTGCAGACCAAAACATGTACAAATCCTGGTTAATGTGAATTTCACTTCCATATCTAAAAAAGACCAGCCATGAGGAATAATAGTCTGTCTCACTGGCAAATATGAACACTCTAAAAAGACAATTGTTCTCATTGGTAGTATTCTAGGAGCAGATGATTGCTGAAAAGGGTCATGTCTTTCTAAAACAAGGAGCATCTAAAGCTTCATTTATGTGAACAGAACTACTTTTAGAACAATTTCCGAACTACATATATAGCTGTAGTTTCCTGTATCACATAACACTATTCTGCATGGTTTTCTCAGGGTCCTTTCACACAGTCATATAACCCAGAATATCAAGGCAGAATAACCCACAATATCTGCTTTGAACTGGGTTATCTGAGTCCACACTGCCATATAAAGCAGTTCAAAGCAGATAATGTGAGATTTCATTCAGCTGTGCGGAAGGGGCCTGAGGGCCCTTCCACAAAGCCCTATTTCCTTGAATATCAAGGCAGATAATCCCACAGCATCTGCTTTGAACCGGGTTATCTGAGTCCACACCCAAATAATGTGGGATTTCCTGTCTTGATATTCTGGGATTTAGGGCTGTGTGGAAAGGACCTCAGTCTTCTGTAAGAGCTTGGGGAGATGTAGGAAATGTTTCAGCTAGGTTAATGGTACCACCAGTCTTTCCAAATATGCTGCAACCATGGTGTCCTTGATGTGCTTAGTACGATGTACACCCTATTTGTTGTAATAAGGACTCATTCATCACAGTTCCTTAGTTTCCCCTTCAAAGTCTACAGAACCCATTGAAGCTTGGCCTGAAACAGATACTTAATCTTAGTTATGCTAACCAATGTTCTTGAGTTCAAGTTAATTGTCACAAAAAGTGTGTGTGCATCTTTCTGTCTGTGAGGAAGGAAAAATTTGCACATACATGCACACATTTATGGTAAGTGGTTAAATGTACGATTCTACATAAACAAGGATGGCATTGTTATCGATAAAAATTATATTAGGCAAGATAGAAATATACATACTTTGTCTTTATCTCTAATTACTGTGTACCAAAGAAGACATCTAAACTCTCTCTTGCATTTCAGGATCATAAATGATGGTGAGGAAAAAAAAATATTTCAAGAAAGTCTATATGGAATGCTGTTTTCAAAGCCTGTTTTCAACTTAGTGACTTTCACAGAGCTATTCATAGGATATTTTTACAGCATTCTGTCACTCTCTTTCAAATGAAACAGAGAGAATACCTTTATTTCATCTCCATCTATTGTCTTAAAAACATAGACACATTGCAGGAAAGGTATATTTTGTGCCAAATGGTGCCACCATCTGTCACTGTATGCAGGACTGACATATGTTGCTCTATTTTTAAACAGAAACATATTATAGACTTAAAACTAGCCTACATATAACAATTACATTGGGAGCAATAAAATATCACTCATGTTCCAAAAGTTAGCTTTCTTGCAGTACTCATATTATGATTTTTAGTAACGGAGATCCATAATAATAATAATGTGAAAGAGTAGAATGTGATTGTCAAGGATTGAAAAATGATGTAATTTTATATCACTGATTCATGCAAAGTAACTCACACAAGTCACATGAGAGCCGGATTCTTAAATTGCTAAAATCTGCTATTTCATCCAAAATACTATTCAAAGAATCAAACATATTTTCCCCAACTTTTAAAGCTGATCATTTTAATTGTTTTATAACATTTGATTTCATTTATGAAACAAAACCCTCCCCTCTAAACTACTTAGGAAAATGGTTCGTTTTACAAAAATAATAATTCATTCAAAATATTTGAGTCCATAGTAAATGCACACTAATAATGATATTAAAATCTGTGCAATGACACTGAATTAATAAATATGTTAAACAAGTGTCTACATCTTTGTTTTCCTATTACATTGTGGAATACATGATCAACAAAGACCTGTCTTATTTCTAGACAACAAATTAAGTACAATGATAGTGTTTTTCAATAACATAAATATAATTTTATTGCAGTTTTTCTAAATTTCAGCTGATTAGCATGAGACATTATAAGTATATTTGACTTTAAATGTAGTCTTACGTATATAATTTCTAGTGGATGAAGTCACTCCAATTAATGGCTGTTACTGCATATGAACTTGGGAAAAGTGGTTTTTTCAAGCTTTAATTTATTAAGGAAGGATACCAAACCAGGATCAAACTGACATTTGAACTTATACATATGTCTAAAGTGTGAGAATGGGTGCCCTTGTCTTATACTGAATTATGTCTGAAGACGAATTCCACTTTTTCCATGTGTGTCGCGGTTCTGTGCCTGCTTGAGACTTTTTACACATGGTTATGAGTTCATGGCTTTGATCGATAACATTTTCCAACACAATTTTCTGGACCACAGAGATACTGATATGAGTTCTAGTGAAATAAGCTAACCTAAATAAGATGTTTTCTGTACAAATCATGTTTGTATTATCAATGGTTGCTTTTTCAGTTCCTAAAAATGTCCATAACATCCTAATACTCAGAAGAAAAACATGAAGTGTAATTGTTTGTATTATCAATGGTTGCTTTTTCAGTTCCAAAAAATGTCCATAACATCCCAATACTCAGAAGGAAAACATGAAGTGTAATTGTTTTCTCCCTGGTACTTTCATTTTTAATATTCTCTTTATGTTTCAGAAGTGTGCAGGCCATAAACCTTAAAACTTCACAATATCCAGAATATAAAAATCATTCTAGAACAATATTTCAGCACTAATAGAAAAAAAATCAACCAACTTATCCACAGGATTGTAGATGGCAGGACGAGAGGAGAAAAAAGGCAATACTGTGACTATGGAAGTGCAAGTTTGAAAGTTGTAACATGACACAATAAGTACTCCCAAAATTAGATTATACCCTCTAACATGGTCTACATTTTATTTAATTTATTTATTTGCTATATTTTTATGCCGCCCTTCTCATCCCATAGGTGACTCAGGGTGGTTTACAGTCAAACATCGAGCATAAGAATACAGTAAAACAATTAAGATAATATAAAAACATGATAAAATCAATAAAAACATATATTATCCGAGTCTCCTTGTTAAAATCATTGTCCAATTTCATTTGACCAGTAGTCCATTTTCCTATGTCCATTACGCTGTATTTAAAATGCTTGCTCAAAGAGCCACATTTTAACTTTCTTCTGAAAATTTAAAAGAGAGGGGGCCAATCTCATATCCCTAGGGAGGGCATTCCATAGCAGAGGGGCCACCACTAAGAAGGCCCTGTCTCTTGTCCCTGCCATCCATACTAGAGACAAAGGTGGGATCAAGAGCAGGGCCTC